GATTTGTAAATATTTTCTCCCATTCTTTTCACTTTCTTAATGATACGGTTTATAGCTAAAAAGTTTTTAAAATTTGACCAAGTCCAATTTATCTATTTTTTTCTTTTATTGCTTTTGCTTTTGGTGTCATATCTAAGAAGCAGTTGCTGAACTCAAGTCACAAATATTTATTCCTATGTTTTCTTCTAAGAGTTTTATAGCTTTATCTCTTGCATTTCGGTCTATAATCTCTTTTGTTTATTCATTCTTTAGCTGATGAAGACGGATTGCTTCTGCTTCTTGGCTACTATGATAATGCCGCTATGAACATTTGTGTACCAGTTTTTGTGTGAACATAGGCCTTCATCATTCTTGGGTACATAACTTCTGTGCATGATGTGAGGTGAGGTCCAGCTTCATCCTTTACATATGGATATCTAGTTGTCCCCGCACCACTGGCTGAAAAGACTTTTCTTTTCCATTGCCTGGTCTTGGCAGCCCACCTCTCTTCTCTGCTCCTGTGGCTTTGCACAGCACCACCTTCTTAGTGCTCTTCCCTCCTTGCTGTCCCTTCCTTCCCTGTCTCCTTTGAGCTCCTCTTCCTCCTCAGGCTACCCTCTCTTCTCACTCCAAATGTTCCCCAAGGTGATTTTACCTGCAGCCTGCACACCAACCCTCTCTCCCTGGATTTTCAGACCAATGCAGGCAACCATCTGTTTGCACCTGCTCTTGGAGATCTCCCAGGGAACCCCACACTCAGCCCATCTGAAACTGACCCAGACCTTTTCCCCCACACTCATTCTCCTAATTCTCCGAGACACAGATGCCAAGACAGAAACAGATGACAGAAACACCTGTTTAGATAAAGGAGAGGGGAGCAGGAGGAGGGAGGAAGAACTTCCTACACATTGCAGGCTTGACATCTGTGAAGGAAGAGAGGAAAGGAGAGACTGGATAGGAAAAGCCTCATGCTGCAGGGCGGCTCTGAGAAACTTGCCCAGGGTGATGGGAGGCTCTGGTGCAAAGCTTGCCCATTAGAAGAGTTCCGTGTTAGTCAGGAATGGCCCTGCTCCCATGTGCCCAGGGAGCTCAGGGACTGTGTGCACCAGTGCTCCCTCATGTGTAACTGCTGGAGGCAGGCAGCCAGCCACACCCCTCCTGGCATGTCCACTCTTCGAAGGAGACCTAAGCACACACTTCCTCCCGCCAGGCCTCCTCCCGTCAGTTCTCCTCCCAGCAAATGAATTTCACCCACCGGAATCGAGGTGCCTCCCCTCAGCCCCAGCAGCCATTCTGCCCAGCCTGCCTCCTAAGCATAGCTTCTATCCAGGCTCCCTCCCTCCATCCTAACTGCATCTACCTTAATATAAGTCAGCTTTATCTCTTGCTGGAAAACAGCTGCTGTACTGTAACACCTTGCCCTGCCCCTGGGCCTGCCTCCTGGCCCTCCACCCCTCCAGCCCTCCAATCCATCCTCTTAAAAGTAAAGATCAACCAAATAGCAAACCTGGAGGTCTTGCCTTTCTTGTCCCCCATGTGGAGTAATGAAAGACCCCACCCATCACCTCTGGAGAGCCATTCCTGCCCTCTATGACTGGGTGGGCACCTGCCTACCTTTTCCCAGTGCCCCATGCATGCCACCCCCTCACCCACCCCCGCCACGGCCTTTGCTGTCACACATCCTACACTCTGGCCCCACTGGGTCATTCACATTCCCTGGACTCAGGCTCATGCTCTTCCCTGCTCCTCAAATTCCCTGACTCAGGGCCTATTTAGATCCTATTCACCCTTTAACCTCGTCCAAATGATGACATCCCCAGCTGCCTTCCCAAGCCCGCCCAATCTTATTCTTACTCTGGGCTCCAAGATTTTTTTTTTTTTTTTTTAGACAGAGTCTCGCTCTGTTGCCCAGGCTGGAGTGCAATGGCACGATCTTGGCTCACTCCAACTTCTACCTCCCAGGTTCAAGCAATTCTCTGCCTCAGCCACCTGAGTAACTGAAATGACAGGCACACACCTCCACACCTGGCTAATTTTTGTATTTTTAGTAGAGACGGGATTTCACCATCTTGGCCAAGCTGGTCTTGAACTCCTGACCTCGTGATCCACCTGCCTCAGCCTCCCAAAGTGCTGGGATTACAGGAGTGAGCCACCGCGCCCAGCCCCTTCTCTTTTATTCCACTGGAATGCTTTCTCTGGCATGAGGTCAAATGTGCTATGCCTGGGTGTGGATGCCAAAAGTCACTCCTGTTTTTTCCCAGACTGCAATCAAATTATTCATCCATCTGAGCTGGCAGGAAAGCAATCTGATTAATGTGGTTGCTCACAAAATAGAAAAAGCATGCCAGGCAAGAGCACCTGGCAATGGGTCGGGACATGTGCCCAGAGAGGGAGGGGGGATGGGGCTTCAGACACTCTTTAAGGACTTTGCAGCTTTCCTCTGAAACATGCTAGACAAAGTCCTGCAGGTCACACCTTGTGCAGCAGCTCCTAGGGCAGTGTAAGTAGTGCAAAGAGCTCACATTGCTGTCCTCCCCGTGGAAAGCTCTGGACTCACCGTGAAGCACAGCAGACATGGCTGTCATTCTCCATATCCTAGCACCTTGAGCAAGAGGAAAGCCCACATGGGAGAGATCTGGGCATCTAAGGCATTTTACCTGAAAGGTGACTTAACAATCCTGTCTGGCCTGCTGTACTGCAGAATGACAGTGAGACGAGGTGCTGCAGGAAAGAAACACGAGCTGCTCTCTCAGGCTTTGTCATTGTGGTAGACCTCGGAATACCCTGTCTAGGTACAGGACAATCCCTGACCCGCGCTGGATTCTGAGTCCCTCCTCCCACCGCAGAAGCCAGAGATCTTGCGTGGAAGGCACGAGGTGCAGGCAGGTGATTCAGGTGCTGCCTGCCAGTCAAGAGTACACAGCAGACTTCGAATCACAGCATAGTCTCTTCCAGAACATGCCTGCAGTGGCTTTGAGCTCCACTCCAGTGTACAGCATCTCCCAACCTGATTCCCTGTCCTCCTATGGAGTCTGGGGACACCTCCAAATCCTTTTCCCCTTTAACTGGCTATAGTTGCTTTCTGTTGTTTGTTCCCAAGAGCACAGACTGATATATCTTCTTTGAGGGGGAAAATATGAAATCAGAAATACAAATTTCTCGTTTAAGAAGATTGTTAGCTTTCCCCAAAATGTTTGATTATGAACATTTTCAAGCTTTGAACATATAGAAACATTGGAAGGATTTTGAAGCAGATACCCACATGCCCACTCCCTGGGCTGGACAGCTTGCAGGCCACCACGATTCACCACACAGCCAGCCGGTCACCATCGCTCTACCAATCACCCATCTGATTTTTAAAAATTAGCTTTTCATCAGCAAACGGTATTTCTAATTTGATCTGTTAGGCTAAGAATAAAAGTTCCAAATCAGGTCACATTTTCTAGATGGTTTCCTTTCTAACCTTGTAAGCTACCAAGAGCAAAAACAAAGGCCAGAACATCGAAACAGACTAGAGAACTTGCCTTTATTATAAAGTACACCTTTGGACTTGTGTTTTTTCCCCAAAGCTTGTGCATCATCGTCTGGGATAACTGCATAAAATGATAGTACGATTTCCTGGTGAGAGGCAGTGTGTTCTAGGTAAGAGCAGAGCTGGATCCACTGCCTCACTGCATCCCTGCTCTGTCCACACGGGCAGCTCACGCAAAGGCAGGGTGATCATGTGGGTGAAATGGGTGGATTGGTGTCAAGCATGTGGAACAGCACCTGGCACATAGGAAACTCTCTGTAAGGTTCCTGGGGAGATTCACAACAGTTCATAAACTGATCTATTGATGACAATGAATGGGCAGGAGCTTTATTCTCTTTGGGTCGCTTATTTTCTAGATTCCTAAAAGCCTCATTCGAACACCTAGTGTTTAGATAAACCATTTCAAAAACACTTGCTTTTCTACTTGAGTCACTAGTTCATGAAGCGCTTCTTGTGGTTTGCTGAAACCTAAGTCGGAGGCACAGCTTTTTGTTCTGCTTTGATGGATTGTGAGGAGATAAGGCTGCAGAGGTAGGCTGGGGCAGGGTCACTGAGGACTTTGAATGTCAGTGTAAGGAGCCTCTCTCCTAAGGGTAAAGGGACCACTTGTCTTTCAGCATATTTGACACTAGCAGCTGTAATAAGCACACATATGAGTACATGTACACACACACTACACGAGCACGCATAGGCACATGCACAAATCACATATGTGGCTTAACACAACTTTCTTTCTCCCTTGTACAAAGCCCACTGTGGATATTGCAAGTTGGGACACTATTCTACAAGTGAGGATTCAGGGATCCCTGCTCCTTCCATCTTGGGAGCTCCTTCTCACTCCCACCTCTGGCTCCAGCGGAGTTCCTGCTGTGGATGTGGTCTTTCCACCCACTACACCGGCTTTGGGCAGAGCCTGACACAACTGGGATCCTCACTAGGACTACATTGCTGGGCTGCAGACTGCTCCAGAGTCCCACAGAAACTCCTAAGTCCCTGAAAAGATGAGCCCCTGACTATGCTGTCAGCTCCAAGCAGTCTTTGTCAATCTCTCAATCCCCATGGATACTGGGAAAATCTAGTGATGTGTTCAGAACTCAGAGCGGTCTCTGGCTGCTGCTTTTTGTGGAAGACAGGATCCCTGAGTGGGAGGGCCAGACACCCTGGTTCCCCTGGCTGCAAGCAGCTGGTGGATCTGGACGCTCTAAAGTTGCCCTGGTCTGCATGGCCTGCCTCATCCTCTCGCGTGTCACTGTCTCACTGTGATGGGTCTCACTCGCTCCGCAGAGCAGTGGCTTTCCGACACTAGCCAGCACTAGAGTTGCACGTGGACTCGTCAGGACGCAGATTGCTGGGCTCCACTCCGAGTGTCTGATTCCAGAGTGAGGACTGTAAACTTGCCTTTCTAACGAGTTCCCAGCATTTTTGATGCTGCTGCTCTTGAGACCACACTTTGAAAACCGTCTCCCTAGTAAGTGTGATCCCTCCGCAGGAAAGAACCAGGGCTATTTTTGCTTCAAAATCATCCGCCTTGCGCGCCCTGTTCAGTGCCTGAGACGTGGTGAATAAACCAATCAGGATGAAAAAAAGGAGCCGGCCCAAGGGCGGAGTGATGAACCTCAGAGGAAGAAACCTGCGTTCACCAGGTGCGGGCCTGGGCCAGGCGCAGTCCTGGCGGCGTCAGGGGGCACACCGCGACGGGAGCTCAGACCTAGCAGCGGGGCCGCGCACCCTCCCTGTCCCGTGGCCCGCAGGCCCTGCCTCCACGCGCCCAGCCTCAGCGGCCTTTGTGGTGTCACAGCCGGCCTGAAGAATGGTTGCCTTGGAGACGTAAACCCAAGAGCCCAGTTCCTGGAGCTGAGAACTGCCGCGCGGACGCTTCAGAGGGAGCTGGGGCGGTCGGGGCAGGTGAGTGCGCGTGAGGCCGGGGAAGAAGGGGCGGGCGGGTTCCGTGAGGGCGCGTGGGGGCGGGGGCGGTGATTCGAGACCAGGGCCAAAGGGGCGCGCATGGCCGGGAGCATACCTCTCTGGCGCCCCTTGCAAGGCTCCCTGCCCTCTGCTCGTATGCCACTTGCTTGACACACACCCATCTACCATCCACCTCTCTGTCCTACCATCCCTGTGCACCTTCCTGTGTGCACGGAGCTTGGAGGACGCTGGCAGAGTATGGGTGTTAGGAGACGACCCTGCGAACTCCAGGCTCACCCAATTAGGGGGCTGTCGCAGGAATGCGGCTGGAATGGCAAAAGCCTAGAGTGGGAGAACCCTGGGCCCCTTCCAGAGGCAGCCCCTCCTGACTGTGACTTTGGGCACCTTGCTGAATCTCTGTTTTCTCCCTTGCAAAAATGAAATGAAGTTAAGGAGTGCCAAGGGCGTGTCAGGACCTTGGATGAGCAGAAAACAACCCCTGTTCTCATGGAGCTCACATTTTAGAGAGAAATAGACAATGAACAGATTTTTTAAGTGATAATCAGTTAATGGGAATTGCAGAGAAGAAAATAAAGGTCACACAGGTGTGGGGAGGAAGAAATCACTTTGGATGGGATGGTGAGAGGTCTCTCTAAAGAGGTTGACATTTGAGCTCAGAATTGAAGAGAAGGGAGCCCACCACCCCCAGCTGGGTATGGGAGAATATATTTTGGCTGAGGAGGCCGAAAATGCAAAGGCTTAAAGCCAAGATCGATATGTTATAAGAAACAGAAGAAGTAGGCAGCTAGAGCCAGGTCCAGGAGGGGAGAGTGAACCCTCGGGTGGAAGAGGCAGGGAGCAGGCAGGTGTCCCCACACAATGATCCCCCACAAATGCTGGTGTCAGCTACCCAGGGCAAGGGAGCTCTGGGCTTTGGGACCACCTGGCTGAAGCTCTGTGTCACTCCCCAGGTGAGGATATCCTTTAGAAGAGGAGGAGCCTTGCATCAATCCCCTGGGCCTCAGCTAGGATGTCTGAGATACCATCCACTATGGTCTCCAAGAACAAGACCAATGACAGTAAGTGCCGGGCCAGGGTGGGTGCTCTCGGAGGTGAGAGGCAGCCTCGGAGAGGCTCCCTCATGGGTTAAGGTGGCTCTAAACCAAGCACTAGGCAGGAGTCACAGATCTGCCCTCTTCCCTTGAGACAATGTGTATGGGTTCCCTGCGGCTGCTGTAACAAAGCACCAAACTGGAGGACTGGAGCCACAGACATTTGTTTTCTCAAGCTCTGGGAGCTGGATGTCTGATACCAGGTTTTCCATAAAGCTGGGTCCTTCCAAAGGCTCTGAGGGCGAGCCTATTCCAGGACTCTCTCCTGGCTTCCGGTGCCTTGCAGGCAATCCTTGGTGTTCCTTGGCTTGTGGAAGTGTCACTCTTAATCCCAGTCTTCCTGCCCATATGGTATTCTCCCTGTGTGTGTCTGTGTCCAGCTTTCCCTGTTTTACAGGGACCCCATCACGTTGGACTGGAGGCCCACCCCACTCCAGAATGGCCTCAGCTTAGTGAATTACAGCTGCAAAGACCTTATTTCTGAACAAGGTCACATTCTAAGACAGTAGGGGTTGGGACTTAGACATATGAATTGGGGTGACGCAATTCAACACACAACAGACCATGAGCAAGGTGTTACCGTGAAGGTGAGCTTCTCTCAGAACCCCTCTGAGTACAAATGCCAGGGGGGCCCAAGGATGTGGCTAGCTGGCACTAAGCCCTGGGTGAAACATGCCTGCTTTAGTGGAATTGCATGCATCCTCCAGGATCTCACACAGGGCGGTGCTGAGGGAGACTGCCCGGACCCATCTGGGGCCCTTTGGCTTTTCAATTGGAATTTAATTTGGTTTTGACCTGGCAGAGTATTCCACGGTTCAAAATTCAAAAGTGTGTTAAAAGCCCCTCATTGTGAAAAGCCCCTCCCACCCTGTCAAAGACACACAGTGTCCCCTCCTTAGAGGTGGCCAGTGTCACCTGTCTCTTCTAGGCTACCAGCTCGGTGCACATACGGGCAAGTGTGTGTGGATGGGGCTTGTTCTTTTCTTACACGGAGGCCACACAATGAAAACCCTGTCCGTACCTTAATTTTTTAAAATGCCCATACATTATGGAGACTGTTAAGAATACATTAAGAATACCCTCATACTTTTTGTGCTTTTGAGCAGAATAGTAATCTTTCAGCATGGCTATATCATAATTTATTAACCAATTCCCTGTGATTAGCTTGTTTCAGAAAGTGTGCTGCTATAAACGGTGATCCCCACCTTACACTTACAGAAGCAAACGCTCTCTCATTCTCTTTTTTTGCTCCAGAGTAAATTTTAAAATGGAGAAAGGCTAGAATAGGGCTTAAAAAAGAAAGAAAGAAAGAAAGAAAGAAAGAAAGAAAGATAGCTTCGGCCAGGCTCAGTGGCTCATGTCTGTAATGTCAGCACTTTGGGAGGCTGAGGCTGGCAGATCATCTGAGGTCAGGAGTTTGAGACCAGCCTGGCTAATATGGTGAAACCCCATCTCTACTAAAAGTACAAAAATTAGCCGGCTGTGGTGGTGGGTACCTGTAGTCCCATATGCTTGGGAGGCTGAGGTAGGAGAATCGCTTGAACCCGGGAGGCAGAGATTGCAGTGAGTCGAGGTCACACCATTGCATTCCAGCCTGGGCAACAGAGCGAGACTCCATCTCAAAAAAAGAAAAAAAAAGATAGCTTTGAAATGTTTACAGATAACAAATTACTCTCAATATGCCCATAACACAATGCAGATAATTGTGCTACTGAAGGACAGTTGAAGGACGGGTACACTATATTGATTTGTTTATTGGTATGGGGGGAGTGCCTAGCTGGGGTACCCTGTGACCCTATGGCTTGGTAGTCCCTCGAGATTGGTTGAGGGCCCGTGCATTTGTGAGAAAACCAGGCCAGACAGGCAGAGCTGGGATCCGCAGCCAGGGCCGGGGGCTCAGAGTCAGGCGGGTCAGGGAGGTTGGCATGGGCAAGGTGGGCAAGGGGCCTGTCCAGAGACTCCAGTCAGGGGTACTGCGGCACCCTGTGTCCTCAAGTTAGTTGCAGGAGCTGGGACAAAGGTAGGGGCCAGGATAACATTGAGCCACCTGGAGTGAGAGGATTGGGGATGCTGAACCAAGTACATATAGGACCCCAGCCTCAGCCAGAGGGCCCAGGGCAGGGACGTGGAGGCCAAGTGGGGAAAGAGCATTCTAAGGGGCCAGTCACACCCAAAGGCCCTGAGGTAGGAGTGAGTGTGGCGTGTTTAAGGGAGAGATAGGAGGCCAGCATGGACCCATTGGGTAGGGCCTGTGGCCCAGGAGGGCTATTGGGTGAGCTCTGCCCAGATGATGGGAAGGATTTAAGAGGGAGACTGCCCAGTGTCTAGCTTTATGACTTTTGTGATGAGGATGCTATTCGCGAAGCCTCAGCAGAGGGGCTGGTTTAACCACAGCCTCCCTTGAGACCTTGAGCAAGGCCTCTTCCCTGAAGTAGAGGACGGAGGGCACCTGATGAAAACCTTGGCCAGGCTGAAGAGTCAGGGAAAGCCAGAGTGGACCGCAGGCCTCCCCATTAGGGCGGGCAGGGGTGGGGACTACAGGAGCGCCCAGAGCTCTGGCTCCATACCATCAGCACCTAGCCCAGTGCGGGGCTAGTTCCAGGAGAGGGGCCTGTAGCTGGTCCCTCTGGGCCAGAACCCTGCCTGAGTCTCACTGGAGGTGTTAGGGGCTTGTTCCTTGAGCAGCCAAATATATTTCCCAAGACACCAGGCTCCGGGTACAAGACTCCAAGAGGAACAGGTTGGGAGAGGCTTGCCCCTGCTGAAGGAGGCTTGTGCGTATCAGGCCATGATGCACTCCAGGTTTTTGCTGCTGCCTCTCAAGTCCACGTTCCCTATGCTGGGAGCATCCAGAAAGGGCATGGGGTTGCTAAAGTCACAGATGGCCAGGCCATCCCCCTGCCAGTTCTGGCTATGAGGGATAGGAAGGGCTGGAGGCAGGAGTTTGATTTGGCAATGTGGAGAAACACGGTCTTCAGTAATCTAGCCTTCATCTTGGGCCATCTATAAAGCCCAGCCTGGTGGCCTTGGGGGCAGAGTGCATCATCCACACATGCAGCCCACATCAGGCCACTCAGGGACCCACGATCATTTCACTGATATTTATGGATTTTACTTACCATGTGTCAGGCACTGTGCTGGGCTGGGGCACAGAGGCCGATGAGTTGGAGGCACCTGTGGTCTGAGCATTTAGGAGAGTATAGCAAACAGCTCTCCCCTTCACTGGCTCCATTCATTCCTGCAGCCCTGGCTAGGCCAGACCTGGCTCACTCCCACTCAGTGTCTTGGCACTGCTGTGTCCTCCACAGGGAATGTTCTTCTCCTGGATTTCCCTGGGGCTCACTTCCTCACACCCCACAGGAGCTCACTCAAATGTCAGCTCCACATTTGAGTGAGCTCCCGTGAGCCTCCCCTAAACAAGGTAAAATGAAGCGCCCCGCCTGCCCTACATCCCTCATTGCTGTTCCCTCTTTCATTTTCTCAGTGGCACGTTCTACCCTCTGGCCTCTCAACCTTTCCTCACTTGTGTTGCTTATTATCTTGCTCCCATGCAGCAGGGGCATTTGTCCTCCCAAAGCCTGGTACATCACAGTTCTCAGTCAAAACCTGTTAGCCTGCAAGCTCTCCCTCTAAGTTCAGGAGCAAAACAATGATGCCCTCCTTCACCACTGTGGTTCAACACTGCACTAGAAGTTCTAGCCAGGGTAATTAGGCAAGGAAAAGAAAAAAAGAAGTAAAAGATCCAGATTGAAAAGGAGGAAGTAAAACTATTCACAGATGACACAATCCTCTATATAGAAAATCCCAAAGAATCCACAAGAAAGTTACTAGAGCAAATGAATGAGCTCAGCAAAGTTGCAGGTTACAAAACCAACACAGAAAAACCAGTTTGTCTCTGTGCCCCAGCAATGAACAGCCCATAGGGGAAGTGGAGCAAGCAACTCATTGACAATGGGGGTGACGTCATGGCAGAGTAGGAAGCTCTAGAAATCCCTACCCTGAAACAATTTTGCTGGCATGAATTATCAGAAGCAACTATTCAGAATCTCTGGAGTTTAGTGAACGCTTGCAACTTGCAGGGAAGATCTTGATGAGGAGGCTGGGAAATTTTAGTGAATTTTTAGCATTTCCTGGAGCAGCTGTACCAGCCTCCAGCCCACAGCAGGAAGAAGGTGGCCTACGTTCCTGGTACAGCTTGCTTGGTGACAGGGTGGGCAATAAGGATCTTGTCCTCCAAAAATCGATCTATGTGTTTGATTGCTGACCACGGCCTGCTTCTGAGGGGCTGGCTCAGCAAATGGGCATTATTCCAACCCCACAGCTTAAAGCAACCGCCTGGCCCTGTCGGTCAAGGGCTACTGTCCTTCTCCGCCCACTCCAAGCTTGAGAGAGCCAGACTTTTATCTGAGATTAGCTCATGTTTAGAAATCTTTGACAAAGGACCGATATCAAGAATATAGAATGAACTCCTAACACCCAACAACAACAAAAACCAAACAACCAAATTCAAAAATGGGCAAAGGACTTGAATAGATAATTCTCAAAAGCAGATATGCAGATGACCTACAAGCAGGAGGAAAGGTACTCAACATCATTAGTCATTAAGGGAATGTAAATCAAAACCAAAATGAGATACCATCTCACACCCATTAGGATGGCTACTATCCAAAAATATAAAAAATAGCAGTGTTGGAAACAGATGCTTGGTGCTGCAAAGAAAACTCAGCACTGAGACAAAGGATCTCTCAGCAAAGCACTTTTTACTTCCTGCAGGAAGGGCACCCTCGATAGCCATCTTGCCACGAGAGTACAACGAACAAAGGAAAAGCAGACGTATTTATCCTTTACGCATTTGGGGTTGTCCTCACTGCTGTGTCTGATCTCTATTGGTTAGAGCCAGACCTCACAATCTAAACTGAAAACCTGATTGGCTAATAGCTTAAAACGTTTTTAAACAGGTAAGGGGC